CTACCTCATTCGCAAACTCTGCTCCCCTATCTGACAACATGGTGTGCGGACAACCCCACCCCGCAGTATAATCGTTCACCATGATAGACACAAAACCCTTCGCATTCTTCTGCGCCTTCGTTAGTGGGTACCCTTCGGCATGCCTGCTGAATAAGTCCACCACCAGGAATACATACTCGTTGTCTTTCGTCGTTTTCGGCAACGGACCCAAATAATCAAACGACACCATCTGTCCCGGTCTGCTCGGAAGAGGCAAAGACACTAACGGCCAACACTTTGTATGCCGCGGCACTTTCCGAAACTGACAAGAAAAACACCTACGGATCCGCCAACGTACTTTCAGCCATTCCTATCCACCAATACACCCTCTTTAAAATACCTAAAGTCACTTTCTCTCCCAAATGCACTGCTTCTTTGTAAGCGCAATCCTTGACCCACGGTCTCAACATCCTAGGCACATACGTCCGAACGGGCTCTTCACCTACCAACCTCTCAAATTGCCCTGGATTTCGATTTGGATTTTCCGCAGGGGCTTTCGATTCTTTCCCCACCAACAAATGCTTCGAATTCGGCAACACCAAGAAAGTACCCTGTGCCACCAGCCGCTTCAATTCATCAAAATCTACATTTTCCGGATTATCACCCTTCTCCATCCTCTTTGGATCAGCATGCCCTTCAATGGCCGTAATTGCTAATCGCGCCGTATCTTCTTCCTCCGGATTGTCCGCCCAATCACTAGCCGTCTTATCACATAAATTCATACGTGTACGCTGACAGGATATCATACCACCTCTGTACGCGATTGCTTTTCTCTGCCAAACTCCCCAAATTTCGCAAGGGTTGATGGTCACTGTACACTTCAAAGGGGATGCCGCAAAATAGTGTTCGATTCTTCTTTATCGCCCACACTATCGCACCCGCTTCAAGCTTAGTCGGACTCCATCTCGTTTCATTCGGGAATGTTGATCTGCTCAAAAAGCATAGCGGTCTAATACTTCCATCTCGTTGCTCTTGCTCGATTTCGGCTCCCAAGCCCGAAATCGACGCATCAGCGGTTAACCGAAACGCCCTCTCTCCCGAGATCGCACCCTCATAGCACGGAAATGCCAAAACTTCAGGATCAGACAGAATATCCACCATCTTCCTCACTACCGCCACATGATCAGCCGTGAACGCAAACTTCGCCCCCTTTTTCAGCATCGCATTGATCAGTTTCAATTTTGCCGACATGCTCTTCAGGATCTTGCTTTAGTACGTCAAGGACCCCAACAACGATCGCAACTGGCTAACATTAGTGGACATTGGCACTTCACGCAGCGGTCCGACCTTTCCCGGGTCCGGCCCGATCCCTTCCGCCGTGACTTGATGTCAAAAGAACGTCACCACCTTCACCCCCAGGTTGGTCTTCTTGGGTGCCAGTTTCAGGTTGAACTTGACCATGCGCTCGAAAAACCTCTCCAGGTCGCGCACGTGTTCTGCCCCGTCCCTGAAAAAAACGATCACGTCATCGATAAACAGACGCACACGTTCCAGTCCGTAACATACTCTGGCCATCACCGAATGGAGCTACCCAGGACTACTACTGAGACCTTGCGGCACGGATAAAAATTAGTACAACCGTAGACGTGATAACAGCAGTGATCGAAATGCTGTCCTCCTCAATACTGCACTGGAAAAACCCACCGACCAATCAAGCGTACTGGAGGTTTTCGATTTGTCCAATTCCTCCAAAATATCCTCCACTATCGGAATGGGCAATTTCGGGATTACACTCATTTTATTGATGCGCTTGTAGTTGACCGTCAACCGTATGCCACCGTTAACCTTCGCGACTACCACCAGCGGACTCGCCCAATTGCTGTACGTCTCCGCAACACACCCGCCAACAGCAATTTGTCAATTTCGATCTGCACCTTTTCGCTCATAACCGGCGAATGGCGGTATGGCCTTTGCCGCACTGGCTGTGCCCCCGGCTTCAAATGATTCGAAACGGATCCACCGTCACCCGTCCTAAATCCGAACCACCCTTCGAAAAACGATGCTCAAACTTGTACAATAAATCACCTAGTTTGTCAATGTCCCCCGGCTCCCACAGTTTCGCATTGAAGTCGAAATGGACGTCTCGAATGTGCGGAGGCACCCTCTGCAACAACCGCCTGAACGCCACCTGTTGCGCCCCATGCAAAGAAGACATGACATCAGCGGGAGGTTCGTCGTTAGGCATGTCAGCCTCTTCACCCTCCGGAACCGCAAATACATCGTTGAATTCCTCATTTTCCACCAACGAGCATCATCCAGATTTACCACCTCCAGGGCTTCACCACCATACCCCAAAATATGGTTTGGTTTCACCAGACACGAGCTATCCCCCACTCTTCTTAGAGGGATTTCAGACGTGGCATGTTCGACTAATGCTTCCTGCGGGAACCACTTCCTCCCAAACTGCACACCGTACGTCCCCACCTCGTTTCCATCACCTTTAAATTCCACCATACCAACCGCGTGGCCTACCCATTCCTCAAAGCGGTGATCTCCTGCCACCTTATCAGTATTCGCACCGACAAAAGTGATAATTGTTTCTGTGCCCGACACGTCTTGGAATCTGCGAACTGGAAAATCAGCCCAGCTATCCCTCCCTAGTATCAGATCATGTCCCATGGCCGAGTCTGGCACAATGTACGCATACACACTCGTCCGTACCGGCGGTGTAACGAAATGAACTGGCGCTGATTTCCCGCCCTTCCACATTTCAATATTCAATATTTAATCGCATTCTTCGATCTGTAACCAATGGCACGCCATGTAACTCACCATATTTCTCGTTCAGCCCCGTTTCAATGCTATCAGCTTAAGTTGAACCACATGCCAACATCTTTTGCACACACCTTTCTTGTACAAACGATGCCAGACTTCCCGTATCCAGCAGAGCCTGCTACGACATCATCTTGGTCGCTCTTGACCCCGCGAACACTTGCACTCTAGTCGTATGCCGATGTCGATCCATCGTCAAATCCCCACCGACCGACCGAGTAAATGGTGACAGGTAGTCCGCCGCTTCACCTGCAGCAAACGTGAAAGGAGGCGGAGGGTACACCGCATCAGTCCTTTGTCCTGACACAGAAGTAACAGATACTGCAAAAATGCGTTCTGTTCCTTCCGGTGCTTCACCAATATTTCCTCCCTTCTGCGTTGTTACCTCAACCTCACGCTTGAGAGAATTTTCAGAGGCGGATGCATGCCCTCCATCACGCCCTCTTCCCCTATCACTGGTAAAGCAACAGTTTCATGGTTCTGCTTGCCCCCAGCACGATCAACGGTGACGCTTTTTTCCTTTCTAGTGTCCCGATTAATCGACCCCTTTTGGCACCATTTTGACCAACATTATGCTCCGCTTGAGGATCCAGCAGACACCTCACTGCTCTCGGAGAGTTCGCCTCGCGTATTTCCTTCCTTTGAGTGCTCATAGCATTCCCCACTGGGTTTGCATTGTCATTAACATTTCCCATTGTGCCAATGCTAAACTTCGTTTGATCTGACGAGAACGGGGCGTGTTCGGCACCCCTACTTCCGAGAGGTGTCTTACTAGTGATTTGTTCCTGAAGCTGTGCGAGTGCATCTTGCGACACACTACGGCCAAGAATTTCTTGCGAGGGCCTACTCCCCAATACATTCTTGCTCCCACGGCCTACACCCGTACAGTTCATTATCAGCACCCGAAACCACTTGCAGTTTGGGATAAATACTTGCACCCTGCTTGGAATACTCCTTAGATACTCAAAAACGTCGCTTACCGTGGTTGGACGAGACGCTCCCTGTCGCCAGGCCATCACCCTCGGTGTTGTGCACCACCGATCGGCCCGCCTCCTCCTCTACAATCCCACCCTCCGAGTCGTGTTCGATGTTCTCGCGTGATGATTGTTTTCTCTTTACCCCAGCCCCCCCGAGTCTGTTTTGATCCCGGTCTTTGGCTCTGCTTTCTTCCCTTCTGCCCGCGATATTTATTTTCATCATCACAATACCCGGGACCTCCTTCACCCTGCACTGTCACCCCTCGAGATTTGTTTTCAATCTCCCAATACTTTTCTCCCCTCTTACCCTTCACCTCCACCCCGCGAGATTTCTTTCCGTTCCCGCCATACCGTTCACCCCTTTCACCCTTCACCTCTTCCTCCCTTTTCTCTTCTCTCTCTGCCTGATCACCCACAAAGCAATTCGGCAAAGGTGCTACCGGCAAGCTGGCCAGCTGGCCGTCGCACCATCAGTTATTTCTCTCCCTCCTCCTCACCTCCATACGATGTGCTTGCCATTGTTTCAGACGATTTAACCACCGATGCCATCTTGTCTTGACTTCGGCCTTGGACCCAGTACCGATGCCCAAGTGATAGCTTGTCGAGTCAATCAAGCAGGTGTCAAGCGTGGGGATGGGTATGTAGAAGGAGTGAATTTTTGGGTCAGGGCTGACTCGGCGCGTTGTGGTGTGGGTAGAAGACATGTGAGTTATTCACGCCCTTACGGCGCGAAATTGCAACAACACAGTGGATAAGAAATCGAGGGTGACACGCCAGCTGCTACTTGTTGTTGTTGTTGTTGTTGTTGTTTCTCATATTGTCCACAAGAATGGGGAGCCCGTGGTCGTAAAACCCGGCACATACGACGCCGCGGTGATATGAAACGAAAATGGCGTACAAACCACTCAGAAAACGAAAAACAACATGGTAGAAAGAAAAGAACAGCTACCGCATCGACCGGTCGAGAAAAGAGGCCAAGGAAACCGAAAAAAAAACAAAATAAAAATATATATGAGAGGAGGACGCTTCCGACACACGCCTAAAAAATATCAAAGGGTGACCTACCAGCACCAGGCACTACGCACCAGGGCATGGGAGCAACGGAGGCAACAGATCACAACAAAACAAAGAAGCGGCAGATGGGAAGACAACCAGATGTATAAACGAAAAACAACAAAAGGGAGATCAAGGTACCCAACGAGGCAGAGTCTCATGGGTTCGTGCTAAAATCGTCGGTCTATAACCCGTAGTGCTACCCTCGCATTCGACTCTTTTTCTGTACTCCATACCTTGCAGTGGAAGATATGGAGTTCAGAGGGTTCCAGCGAGGCTGGCGTTCGCGGTGACACTGTGGAGGCTGGCGGCACCGACGACTTTGATTCGCGACAGGATATTTTGGGGGATGTCGGAGACGCCCATATGCGAGATCTTCAACCTAACAATCGAGGCAATCTTCGAACGCTGGGGCGATCTTGTGAATGACTTGCAAGTAGACGCCATCCTTCCCAAAATCGATTCGTTCTACGAGGCCATTGCCGGCCGCGGATCGCCTCTCACTAGGTGCTGGGGATTCCCAGGTGAATTATTCGTAAGATTTCTCGTCCTTAGCGAAATCAGCGCATTTGTTATACCGGGTGGAAGCGTGTACACTCATTGAACTATCAGGCGGTAGATTCCCCAGATGGCATCATCCGTACTTTGGGGTCCTATGCTCGGTAGGCGCCATGATGTGACGTTGCTGGGGCTAAGTGGGCTGTTGGAGACGTTGATGCAGTCATTCAACGATGCGGCGGGCGCACCGTACTACATTCTACGGAAACTCAGCATACCAGGTATCCCCATGGCTGACGGCGCCATACAAGGGCTTGTTGTCTGTTGCCGAGGTGGCATTCAACAGGGCGATAAGTAGAGTGAGGGTGACTGTCGAATGGGGCTTCGGCCGGGTCGTGGCGTTGCGGCCTTTCGTCGACTACGCGAAGAAGCAGCAGGTGGCCCTCAGCGCATGCGGTCTTGGAAAGCAGTACGCGGTGGCTGGTATCCCTTGCCACTGCTGTTTCTACCCAAACTCGACAGCGAAATTCTTTGGCCTTACCCCCCCCTTCCCTCCAAGAATATCTTTCGGGAGCGGGGTGAAAACGTGTGTCTAATTTGCATGGGACTGATGCAGGAATTAGCTACTGTAGTTGGCACCGCACTGTCCCGTACCATCCTGCACATGGCCATATCGACGTGAAGTATAGGGGTTGACATCAAGCTTCGTTTCGTTCAGATGATTTGGGTTCCCTCACGGCTTCAAAGTGATAACAGGGTGGGCTAGGGTTTAAGACCTTGGCTGCCTATTGCGCTTGTTTTCCCGAATTATTGTAGGGGAGTAGAGGTCCCGTTGTATGGTCGAATTCCCCTGTTAATGCAAACCACCGAAATGTTGTCTCGGGATTATTTCGTGGTTGTTCCTGTGGGCTGGAGCGTTGGAGAGGACCTACCTGTAGACTATATCTTCCTGTTTGTATCCTGGGTTTACTCTTCCTTTTCTATTTATTTGCCTTGTTTCTCGTTTTTTCTTCCTGTTAGACCGAAGTCGTTTGCCTATATCCGGGTTAGTTTTTCTTTAGGTGTCCTCTTTTGTTTGGGCAGAAAACGAATCGTGCCTTGGAGGAATTTTCTTGTGTCCATTGTTTAACAACATATTGGTGAAATTGAGAGCGAGAGTCAAAAAATTAAAATCTAGGTCCAGACGCCTCTTGCCATTTCTTGGGAAGTAGGGGGCGGGCTCCTCCAAGAAGCGGCGCAAATTGAAGGTCTCATCAGCAGCGTCACGAGCATATGCGTGTCATCGTCATCGGATGCTGCGGCTAGGAGCTAGACAAGTTGCTATATTTCCCCAGATTGGCTATTCCTGCCTCAAACTGTTGCAGGGCGGTTCGGCCTCGGGCGGTGGGCTCTGCTGTAGCTTCTGCTCGCCGCTGTAACTCCACATCGAGAGACTCGCACAGGATGACCAGGCTATCTGCTTGTAGCTACGGGCTGGCCCTTCCTTCAAGCTACACAGTAAGCTCCACCTCTCAGCAGTAGTCCAGCTGCAGCGCATCGCGCAATCTCGCTCTCAATCAGATGCTTCGCTCTTAATTTCACCAGTAGTCTATGCTGTTCTGTTGCGTCGTTATTTCTTTAAAAGGTGCACCCCGTTTGGGGGTAGTTGGCTTGTGATCACGGGAGGTGTTCGCGTCAGTTGGACCAGTACAAACATTAGAAGGCACCGGGTGAGGCCTTTGCGTTTGGTCATGTGAAGACAACCTCAAGTACAAATAACATAATGTATTTTCTAACTTTTCTTGTTAGTCAAGATGTATGTCTTGGCCGTGACGGGGTGCGTCACGAAAAGTCGTGCCCAAAATTGTTTTACTCGCCGATGCACTTACTTGGGTGAACACAGTCCTATCCGAACGGCGCCTGCAGACGAGATAACCCCACATGCTGCGCACGTCAGAGGTCGGGTACAAAGCGAACAATTCGAAGTGCACAAAGTACTGGTGAAAGCGGACGAATTACCACCATCGTGCGGATTGTGAAGTATCTCAACAAGTGTTTTTTAGTCAATGTTTTGTGGCAACGAACGTCCGGTTAGCCAGCGCAGCACTAGGCTCAGGTAGATCGGGCTTGTTCACTGGGGTCGATCCGTTACGGGACGACTCGACGGCAATCATCAAGCCTGGTCCACCTGACCCTATTATTACACCTACCCTACGGAGAAGAATCGTACTCAGGCACCAAATCGCCCCCACATATGCCACCTCTCGGACGAAATCGGAACCTGTATGCCAACGGAAACTGGCGACAGTTATTCATATGCTCCAAGTACGACNGACCAGAGGGTCGAGAGGGGCGAGCCGGAGGCTCCCCCATCTCTTCCCTCGGCAAGCGGCCATGGACTTAGGAAGAGACAAATATCCTCGGTGCTTTATTTGCCACTTCTCCCGATGGCAAGTTACCCCGAGGAATCATATCTTCCTACTATCCTCCCCTCCCCGGCCTGCTCCCTGGCCGGGGCCGAAATCGACCTTGTGAGTCCCTCGCGGGCGAACCAGGCCACAACAGA